GATCTGATCCAACTGAAAAGTGCTACATTAACCTGTTAGATCTTTTAAAGCATCATAGCTGAACCATGTAGGACATCTTTGTCTGTTGCAGTGTGAGGCGGGTCCTCCAGTGAAAAAGGCCACTGAGACACTAAACTTGTAGGTTCCTCTCTCGCTAATTGTCTCTAGTGGACAGATGGTCATCTGCTGAGGAGATTAGAAACAAATCTGTGACAACAAAAGCAGACGACATTGTACCGTGAACTAGCATGTTGTCAATGAAATCCACTGGGATTACCACAGCTCTGTTGCTGTGAATGCATATAAGCTATTCCCAGAGTGATATGACTGTAGAGGTATTCGTTACAGTGGGTTTGTGTTGCTGTGATCGAACAGTTAATGTCGTCACTGTCTTCATAAAGGTTCTCAGGGTGTTTTGTAACGTTCTGTGCAGGTTTTATTACGTTGGTCCTGGAGTCAGTGGATTAGGAAAGCGCTTTGCAGCGTGGGCACTGCTCATTTTTTCCGAGTCTGTTCAGGTTCTGATAAATTGATTGCGTGCACTCGCTCCCTCATACGTGCAACCTTCCAAGGATGCTCGAGCCATTCTTCATTTGACACCCACACATACAAACAGAAGCATGTCAGGCTTATTATTCTGAAGTACTCTGGGCTCTGACTTTATAATAAATCTTCTGCTGATGTGTAGCGCTGTGGAATCGGACTGGTGTCTGGAGCGAGGTGGAGGGTGATGATTATGTTGTCAGCGGACAGGAAATGAGCGTAGCAGCAAGAAAAAGCAGGAGATTCCCGCCAATGTGGTCCGATATTTGTCTGGGGTTTTGTCAGAGGCTAGGCTAAAGTAAGAAGTGGGAGGAAATGGGCCAGTAATTCGATCGTCCATGCTCAGGATTGGCCATAATGAGGCAAAGATGTTCTACACTGGATGTGATCTGTTTTAAAGTGTCAGTTCTTCATTTGGCGTGTTCTCTTTCACATGAATTGGCACACAGAATAATTTGATTTTAACCTCACCGTTAAGTTTCTTCAGTCTCCTGCTAGCTTTGAATCTCTCCCATCACTTTGGCGAGGACAAGCAGAAAATCTCGCCTAATCCCCTTCCCAGCTGCCATGGTCATAACATTGTCACGATTGTTTTTACTAAAAGCTCTCGACTTGCAGGTCACCGCACGGCCGTTATCAGCACGTCCCCTGGGTAATCAGGAACTTCACACCGCGTGATTTTCCATCAGGGACGAGCTTTTTCTGCCTTTTTCACTGGAATGCAGCTGCCTTATAGACCCCACAAGCTTATTTTAGACCTGATCCTGGGGAGGAATCCTCTCAAGAGCTTCCCGTCTGTGCTGGTTTACTTTAACCAGAGTCGCACTGTGGACTGAATCTTGCTTTTTCCACTGTGGTATTCCAGGGTTAGACGAGAGGGTTTCAAATGCTGCAGGAGCTTTGAACTTAGTGCCAGTAAACTCTGAAAATGTTTGAGATGTAGTTCTCATATTAGGAGCACATTTAGTGATGTAGAATTAAAGGCTCTGGTGTAACAACAGGATGTGTCCACTTATTAAAATTTTTGGAGTCTGGATATGATTGTTAGATGGATACAATGGTCTGTAGCAGTCTAATTGAATTAATCTCATTAACCTTTAAGTCATCACAACATCCTCCATATGAGGAGCCAAACTATGAAAAAATTAGTTCTTTTTATTACCTCAAAATTATGATAAACAAGTCATAGCAAAGATAAACAAGCAATAACGAGGCAATAACTGCGTGTTGTCTCAGTACCAGCAGATCGTTGGCAAAAAGCAGAGAAGATGTGGTTCTGTTGTTTTTAAAATGTACTTATCGTATTTTTACGTAACACGACATGTAATCAAAAGCGGGTGAACACGAGGCTCCATATGGACCTGTAAATGCGCTGGTTCACAAACGTTGACGTATCACGTGGGCGTGATTTAGCTGTAGCTGTCAGTGCCTGAGATTACTTAATTATTCCCCCAGGAAAACTTGTGTCCTTGTATTAATAGCATCTCTAGCAATACTTACATCATATCTTTATATCTACACACACAAGCACGCTGTAACCCCCGTTACCCCCCGCGAGGCGGGATTAACAGATTTAACTCGGCCCTGCCAGCCTTCTGAACAACAGCCATAATCTGCCACATTTATAATATTACATTTTCAGCCATGAATCAGGTCAGCTTATCTAATCCCCCCCTCTCGCCACACTACAGAACCCGCTGTAAGCACTGGACTGTCGCGTCCTGTCGGAAATATTGAAATCAAATGGAAACATTGTTGAAAGGACAGAACGAACGGATTAAATCTGCAGATTGTGATGATGATCATTAATTCTCCTAAGCTGCATATTTGGCCTTTTGTAGTGTGCCAGTGTCCTTTTGCTGGAATACCACCGTGTGTAAATTGTCTTAGAGTGAGGGGGGATAATATTTTAGGACAAAACCATTGATTATTCTCAGGGAAAAGTCATTCTAATAAAAACTTGCTTGGCTTGTGTAAGTCACTGATTAATAGGCATGCTGCTTTCATAAAAAACCTGTGCAAACTGTCATTAACTCTGCTTTTCATTTTATTTTGAAAGGGCTTTTCCCTGATGTGGGAGGTGGCTATTTTCTGCCGAGGCTCCAGGGGAAGTTGGGATTGTTTCTTGCCTTGACGGGCTTCCGACTTAAAGGACGGGATGTGCAGAGAGCCGGGGTTGCCACTCACTTTGTGGAGTCTAAGAAGGTACCGTGTGAGCTTTCAGTTCAGGTGTTGGAAGTGCGGGGGTGAGGTCAGAGCTGCACTGGAAAGCCAGATGCTGATTCACTGGAGGCCTCACTCTTGTTTACGGTGCCAGCATTCACCAGCCGGCGCAGAGGCCAGTTGTGTTTTTCTTGCTGTTGGCATGAGGTCAGAGCGGTGGGCGGCAGATTGTTTATGACTCTAACCTTGGTTTGGGCAGAAACAAACACATCTCACCTCAGTGGAAGTTTAGCAACAAGACAAAGGGTTACATAAGTCAAGAGAGAGGACTCGGAGGTAATGAGCTGATGCAAGAAGAGCCAAAATACACAAATTCTGAACCTGAGTAAATAAAACAAAAGGAATCTGCACAGAGTGTTAGCAATGAGCTGACATGAACAAGGGGAAAGAAACAAGATTATCGGTGTGGTCTGATAGTCAAATTTCATTAAGAGGGTAGCTTACCGATTGAAGTGTTAGATAGATTTTTCCATTTTACTTTCAGGTACTGTTTTAGCATCTGTTTTTATTTATAGTTTAGACTTTATTGCATTGGTGACTTCCAGATTAAGTATCATCTGAGGTATTTGAGGTCGGCCTGATGAAGGCCTCAGTGTAAGTTCATCAGTGTAGTGAAGGAGGACATTCAGAAGGTTGATGGGACAGAGGAGGATGCTTGGGATAGGATGAGATGGAAGCAGATGACCTGCTGTGAAGCAAAGGGAGCAGCTGAAAGAAGAAGCTGAGAGACTGGAGGAAGAGGTGGTGAAGATGAGGGCAGGGCAGGCAATCGCAAAGAAGAAAAATGGAGAAATAAAGACAAAGCAGTACACGCAAAAAAATGTCAAAGTCAAACAGGAAGCGATCAAGGACGACTGAGATGAGATAGAAACACAGTTAACATAACCTAAATTTTTCATTAGTCGGGAATAACAATCCTCACATTCTGTTTATTTATTAGACGATAAAACTATGTTTAGAGACACGTCAGACTTCTACACATCACATCATAAACGACAGATCAGCTGCAGACTGACTTTTTCCGTTTGGATTAAACAGATCCCAGACCTGCAGAAGGAGCTCGTGGACTTGAAGTCTCCCTCTGCTGAAGATGTCTCCAGAGTGCTAGACTCCTACCAGAGCCAGGTCAGAAGCCAAGAAGCCAGTCATTTACACAAACATGTGGCTTAGACTCTAGCTATACATTTTCATTACTGCATCTCACTCTTTGTTTCTGCTCTTTGTCCACAGAGCAGTCTGGATGCTGAGAAGCCTTTCATCTTGAAAAAGCACCTCTCTGATATAGACAGGTGGGCCATGACTTTCTTCCTAAATATACTTAAACTAGGTTCAGGAGGTGAGCTGGAGTCTGTTTTTGTTGGTGACAGATAAAGAAAATTGACAGAAACACTGTATTTAGTCAGAAATGTATTCCTGAAATCGGCTTTCAGGGCTCCATATGTACCAGCCTCTTTCAGTGCTGCTTTTAATCTCTTTGTGCTCTGTTTTTAAAGACTATCAGCCTTTTATTTATTTTCAGTCTCTTGTCCTTTTAAATCCTGTCAGGCTCTTCAGCGCCAGCAGTGTGGA